ACAAAAGATGCAAAGTATAAAGTTATTAATTAGATGTAATGAGCTGAATAATAACAAGCTTTCATGGTTTAAAACGAATTTTTTTAACTACATACTTATTGAAAATTTTGGCATAATGCTGTACCAAAGTTTTTATTGTGTGTGAAATGCTAAATAATCACTTTCCATTATTCTAATTGCAGCAGTGCGATTTGGATTTTGCTAACTTCGTAGACACGAATGGTCACTCGATAAAATTTCCAAAATGTTATAAAACAATTGGAAATTTTCCGGAGCTGGCAAGAAATGTAGCCTACTTTGGTTCTTTTGGTTCAAGCGAATATATGTATGAGGTTTGTCTTTTTCGACTCATACATTCTTTTTCATTTTATGTATTCAATACTTTTAGCTATTTTTTATAGGGGGTAACTCATCATCCATTATGCTATGATATGTTGCAAATAAATGAGTTCGAGAATGGCATTGAACACCGCAGCGGAGCATTTGATGAGATTGTAGATTACTTGTACAGTGCCAATAAATTTGATGGAAATTTGCGTCGGTTTATGTCAGTCACAGAAAAAGTAGCTAATATCGAGAAAACAATTACACGTTATATCTTCATTTGCTTTCAAGAAGTAGATAAAGATCCTTGTAATGGTAAGACAATCATATTTATCTTCAAGTTTTGTAGTTATTTATTTAAATACAGAAGCTTGTTTAAGAAGTACAAATTATTGTATCTTATATTTTACCACAGTTGCCTACCGTTTGGCATACAATAGAGTTTAATCTTAATAAAACTGTAAAGTTTCTAGTATTAGATTTAAAATTTTACTTCTGCTAAAATTATTTTTAACCTTCATTTATTGAGGACATAACGTTATTCATCAAAAATTGCTGCCAGAAGTTATTTGGGAAGAAAGTAGCAAGCGTGATCTTGAGAAAACTTCACGATGCCATTCTACTAATCGTACTAAGCTCATAAATTGTGTGGGTAGACAAGGCTGCTTTGATTTTCATAATGTTAATAACTTGAGAATGGTAAGCATAATATACTGTACATAAATTATTAAAAATTTTTCATCATTAAACTTTATCTGCTAATTAATTGCATTAAATCTTTGATTTTAAGTCTGATTCAAGTTGAAAATAAATTAAATATCAAATAATTTTAGCAAGCTATATTTAATGTTTAATTACTTTCATTTCTTGTGCTAATCTTTATTACTTAATACGAATAATCTTTTACTTATTTGCAGAATGGATGCATTGATCAAATAGATAAAATCATTACGGTCAATCCACAATTTCGAATGCTTCATATGTGTAAGCGTGAGTTCTGGAGATTTTCCAAACAAACGATTCGCTGTTTCGCTGTGATAAATGACTCAGGCAGCAACCTTACGCTAACAGAAGGCGTACTATGTTGCTGCAAGTCAACATGCATGGCATTTGATGAGGGTTCTCATATGCAAAAAGAAAATGGCTATTTTCCATTTCCAATGTGATATTGCAAGTTACTTACTTTGTTATATTTTCCAGCATGAAGGATGCTTATATATACAAATATTAGAAATGAAACGTGTTGCTCGGAAATTAATTAGTTTTAGAGTATTGATGTGACTGAGCAGAGAGCTGTGAGACTGACACTGGAAAAAATGAATGTTGAAACAAGACAAGATTCTCTGAAATTAGAGATGAACGGAAACATGTAAACTACAGTTTGACCTGGTTAATCCGGCGTGAGGGAATATGGTGATTGTAGCGGTTGTATGCGAGGTTTTGCACATACTGCTCAAAATGCATGAGCAAGACTACTTTCACAATGTCAAAATTTGTTTACTTCAGGTATTTTTTTGATATAATTAAGCAGAATATAAAAAAATTTAGCGCTGCTGAGAGCAGGTCAACCACACGCTATCACAACGAGCGCAAGTTAATGGAGATTACTATGTACATGACTTCACTTTCCTGTTTACTTCTTACCATGACAGAACTCAGAAAGTAAATGCTATATGTCTTCTGAGTTTGAAATTGTAAGTGATATGCTCTTATTTCTCGGAAATTGATGGTTTTAATGTGCTTTTTTCTCAAAAAAAAAATGGATGATTCTGCAAAGTAAGAGAAACACTTATTTGATTAATGAAATAACTTATTGCAAATGCAATGCTTTTCTTTTACAAAATATAGCCTATCAAAATACAATGTATTGATTCAAATAGTGATAAATCTAAAATTAATGAATGGAATTAAGGTCAAATGGATATCTGTGAAAAATTTTCAGTACTTTCAAATTATTCTGAAACTATTTATTAGTCGTAAAAGTTTTACTGATATTGTTTGAGTTTACTTGCAAAATCTTAAAAACTGTATGCGCATTATCTTCCTGATAATGACATTACTTATAAGAATTATTGTAATTAGAGCTTGAATTCACACTTTCTAGTAAAAGTTAGCATTATAAGTATAAGAAATAGTAAACTAATTTTGAGTTATAATTTGGGCAAGAACAGTGATTTGGCTAAAAGGTTTGCCCTTGTCACTAATCAAATCGAGTGAACTAACTACGGATTTTGAAGCAAGTTTTTTGAAGTTTACTGCGTAGAAATCAAATCAGTTTTCCTCTCTTGTCTTGCTGAATGCTAATTTTAGAAGAGGAAATCAACATCAAGCTAATATATGTATTAAGCTTGTATCATATAAAATTGGATATGTATCTACTTATATCTACATACGAATTATATCTGCTTATACATTGGACTACTGCATGTTAAGATTAGATATGCATAATAGTTAGTGTGTTAATGAGTACTGATGACAAGTGTGCACTCTCTGGATTAGCGAAGTTGCGAATGTTAACTTTGAATCAGAAATCAAAATGCTATTTTCAACAAGACAATTTATATTTTTTTAAATTAAGCGATTGTCATTTTCAAACATGAAAGTTGGACAATATCATAAAGAATTAACTAGCAGCAAATGAGGATACAAATGTTTTATTATCATTTTCTGCCATAGACTGACTGCCTGATTTGACAAAACAGCATTTTATACTTTTAGAATTTTTTAAGCTAAGTAAAATATCATTCAGTTAATATTTATCATTCAGTTAATACTTAAATATATATTCTACTAAATTTTAAATAAAAAATATATAACTTTTTCGGCACAACTTTGTTAACAATTAACTGGAAATTGCAATAAAATTGTTCCAGAGATTTTTTTAATTACAATAAAATAAATGATATTTTCTTACAAATATAACCATTGTTTTATATCTATCCCGTGCACTTTAGTTTATTGTTTGAACTATTTTTTAATAAAGATGCTGTAAGTAAAAAAGTAACCGAAATTTAATATCAAGCATTCATTTCTGCTTCAATTTTTGACTTTTAATTAATTTCGATATTAATTTTTGGACAAAAGTGAATTGTTGTTTACTGTTACAACTTATTGGAGATGAGAGTCAAGAGCACTAATTTCAAATAAGTAAAACTCTAAGTATTACGGATTATCAACGTATTTAAAATGAAAAATTGCTATGATTTCCACATTGCAACTTAAGATTTAATATGATAAATAACGAATGAATAAAATTTTAAGAAATTCTTGCAGCACCAGCGAGTGTTTGGTACTGATGAATTGTCGAAAATTTTTACACACTTAAAGTTTATTTGAAATGAATGATCATTTGATTTAAATTCAATAAAATTAAAAAATGTAGTTATTAGAAATTTATGCTCTCTTTCACCAAGTTAATGTCAAGCGCACTTAAAGTGGTTTTTACGCATGATAGTAAAGAAAATGTTTGAAAAATCAAGTGGTTATTATGTTTTTATAAAAACTCGCTGCTTCCAGCGAAAAGCAATTTCATGGATAACTTCGTTATATTACCGTTCTCTTACGCCTAAGACATTATTAAATAATTTTGACGTACAGCTGAACTTCGTAAAAGTTAACTTTATCCGTATAAGAAATATATACAACCTGAGAATAAAATTTGCTAAATAACTTCTCAAACTTTTATAACAAAAAATTACCAACTTATAAATTTGACATGTACTGGAGAATATGTAGGTGCAAGAAGATACCGAAATCAGTGGAAGTGAAGGAAGATTATTTATCCAAAAGTGTAAATTTTTGTGATAACGAGAAGATCGAGAAGATGAAGCTGACAGATGTATAGATAAATATAGAAATAAATAGATAAATAGGTAGACAGATGAATTCATACATTTATTCGGAGTTGATGAAAAAAAGACAATTTTGACTTTAAAGCAGCGAAATATCGATCATATTTACAAAGATGTATGACGTTATATTCTAATATATAATTCCTCAAATAAATATATACATCGTTTTTTCATTCAGCAGAAATTTTCGAAGAATTTAATTGGTAAAGAATGAATATCCAGTTATGAATATTCCAAAATAAATTGCATCAGAATAAACACTTGTCACTTTGGACAGAATATCAAATTTTCGAGGTCTGGAACTGATATTTTTATCAAAATATTATCTAAAAACTTGATTTTTAAATAAAAATACCTTAGCTAAAATAAATTGGTTTTTTAGTCCAATTACTTACTAAAAATAATAGTTATAAATTAACAGAGCATTAATCAGATTAGTTTAGAGTATAGTATTTAGACGACTAAGTAGTGGATCTAATTGTTTCAAGTAAATTTTTGCTTATATTGTATTAGCACTAATTTTCAAGCTTTGTGGCCATTTTCGGCTTTTAATCTCGTCAAATTTTTTTGCGTCTTTTTTATCTTATAAGAAATCAGGACAAAACATTTAATGACATCTTCATCATTGCTTTTGAACTTCATTTGATAAGTATCATTTATAAAGATGTCAGTCCAATCAGAAGCAAATTGTCCTTAGCTTCAACATTCATTACTTACATTGTGAAAGCCTCAACAACTTGTACTTAACAATTACGAGAAATTTCTGACTCAGCCATGCAAACTTTGAATTAATGCTTTAATTTCTGTGTGAGAAAACCAAATATTTTTTGTATTTGATATTATTTGCCTGATCTTAATTTTTACAATTACTACACATTACTATCTAGAAGTAGTTATCATATTTTCAATGCAGAATATCATAGGTAATTTGTTATTAAATTGATCAGATGCCAAGTGTAGTATTATAAAATTTTTTGACATTCAAAACCTATCATCAAAACTTTTATACTGGATATTTATTTGTGTGTACACATAGAATTATTATTGATTACATTTGCATAAACTGTGATTGCGCCTATTTTAAAATATCATAATTGCAAAAAAATTTCAAGCTACTTCCATTGTCAATTGCCAATCTTTTGAAAAGTGAAAAGGTAAAGTAATAAATGATCTCTTTATTAAGCATAAGTATTTAATAATGTTATGTGTAATAATGCATAATTATTAGAAATATATATAAATGTAATGTTGGAGAAGCGATAAAGGAAAGAACGATCAAATTCTTAAAATTGTTATTAGCATTTTCGTCGATTTCTGGGAGAATGCGAAAGAAAAGCAAACGGAAATACTCGGGCATAGATTCTAAATTCTATTGCTTTCAGTACTGGTCTAATATCTACTTGCTCCTTTTCTTCCTCTCCCTACATTTCCATCATCATAAAGAAGTAATTGAGAAAGAGTTAGTTAGTCAATAGTAGAGTAGTAAATAAGTAACAAGTTCCCCTTACTACCTACGTATCTATTCATCTATTTATCTATCTATCCATCTATCTACTTATTTATCTACCTATCCATCTAACACTATTTATTTGTTTATGTATGTATGTATTTATTTATTTATTTGTCTATCTATCTATCTATCTATCTATCTATCTATCTGTCTATCTATCTATCTATCTACCTATCTATCTACCTATCCTTCACTCAACATCATAAGAAATTAAGATTTTGTGTGACTTATTAAGTATCATTTAACATTTGATAATCAGTGCAAGTAATGCATACCCGGTTTGGTTTTGTTTACTTCTGGTTTATTTTGTCACTCACTTATGAGCATTGCCTTTCTTGAAAAATTGAAATATTTCTTAAGTTGTGTTTATTTTTTCTTTGCATTCAAATAAATTAGTAAAAACAATGATAAAAGTCCTAAATTTTGCATAGCTTTTTGACGAAATAAACCGAGAATGAGATGTTGTTTTGTACTTTTTTTTCTGTTTTTTCTAAAATGTATAAATAATACAGCAATATGTGTGAAGATTTTGTTATTTTTCAAATTCAAGAATGAAAAAATGATATCAGTAATAATGTGATTAATTAATTGTGATTTTTATTATGTTGATGGACATTTCATAAAATTTACTCATACGTTGTGTGCTTTTGTTTTG